TCGATTTCTGCTTGGTTTAGTTGATTTTTTCTTTATTTTGCATTTCAAAATAAGAACATATTCTATTTTTAAATTTTTTATATTTAAAAATGTTTTTTGTGTTCTGAATTTTTCATCAATAGCCTATAGTCGTACTTTTTTTAAAAAGAAAAAAGTCATATAGTGCTGATAAACAGGTCATTAGAAGATTTATCAAATAAATTTTAAATTGACATTTTTCCACAAAATGATCAGGCTTTATAATTTTTAAAAGAACAAACATACGAGTTATGTAAATTAGCAGTTTAGCAAAATAGTTGGGCTCAACAAAATGTGAATAAGCAAATTGATGAAGTATGCAAATTAGCAGTTTAACGGAATGGTTATGTTTTAGAATTTGTAAAAACACAAACAGAAGAAATATGTAAAATAGCAGTTCGACAAAATTGTTATGCATTAAAAATTATTATAAAAAACAAACAGAAAAAATATGTATAATAGCGGTTCAAAAAAATGGTCTGTTATTAGAATATGTTAAAGATCAAACAGAAGATTTATATAAATGGGCAGTTCAATAAAATGGTTTGGCATAAGAATTTGTTAAAGAACAAACAGATGAGATTTGTAAAATAGCTATTCGACAAAATGGCAAGGCATTATAATTTGTAAAAATACAAAGAGGAGATATATGTAAATTAGCAGTTACACAAAATGGCTTAGCTTTACAATATGTGGAAGAATAAATAGAAGAGATATATAAATTAGCAGTTCAACAAAATGGTTATGTATTATACTTTGTTGAAGAACAAATAGATGAAATATATAAATAAGCAGGTTAAACGAAGTAGTTATGCATTACATTTTGTAAAAAAAATAAGCAGAAGAAGTATGTAAATTAGCGGTTCAACAGAATGACTAAGCTTTACAATATGTAAAAGAACAAACAGAAAAATTATTTAAATTAGCAGTTCAACAGAATGGCTTAGCTTTACAATGTGTAAAAGAACAAACAGACAAATTATGTAAATTAGCAGTTCAACAGAATGGCTTAGCTTTACAATATGTAAAAGAAAAAACACGAAAGTTATGTACATTAGCTGTCCAACAAAATAGATTAGCTTTACAATTTGTAAAATAACAAACTAATGAGATATGCATAATGGCAGTTCAACGAAATTGTTTAGCTATTGGGTATGTAAATAAACAAACTGAAAAATATGTAAATTGGCAGTCAACAAAAAATAGAGCTTTAAAATTTGTAAAGAAATATGTAAATTAATAGTTTAACAAATCAGTAATGTTTGTTTTTGGTATTATAATAAGAAAAAATTTTTTTATTATGATTTTAATATTTGTACATTTTTAAAGTAAAATCATTTACGGTGCTCATAAACATTTATTAAAATAAGAACATTTTTGTATTATGAATTTTAAATTTAATACCAAAATACTCGCTTTGGACAAAAAAAGCTACATTTACTCGACCTGTTGAAAAAATCTTTTCTTTTGCATATTGAAGGATCTCCAAACAATCCTTACAGAGAAAAGGCTTACTACCTCGATTATATGATTAATATACTACTTAAAGTCGAACTTGGTAGAGCTCCAGTCGACAAAAGAGATGCCTACACAAAAAAACGTGTTGATAACATCCGAGAACTTTTTGAGGAAATTTTGGTTCAACAGTACAAAAACAGCATAAACAAATGCAGCAAACAGTTTACTGCTCGTATGGGTGACGATGGTGATGCCGCTGAACCATGGAATGTTATCCATCAATTCAAAGCGGGAACCTTTGAACAAGGGTTTAAAGCAAGTCTTATGATAGGTAACTAGCCAAGAAAAAAAGGTATTTCTTAAATGTTGCAGAGAAATAGCTACATGCAACTTTTGGCAACTTTAAGTCGCATCGGCTCTCAGAGTAACACACAGGCGTCAAGCAGATAGACAAAACCTCGTCATGTCGATCCTAGTACAGTTCTGTTTCTTTGTGTCACTGGGGATACACTAGTTTTGATGGGTGATGGTACTTCAAAACCAATTAAAACATTAAAAAATGGGGATGAAGTTTTATCAGTGAACAAAACTAATCTTACGTGGGTTCCGGCGAAAATTCAAAACTACTTTTCGCGACAGGCTAACAATATCATCGAGATTGAAATTGAAAGCGGTGAAACACTCAAGTGAGCAGCTGATCATCCTGTTTTAATTTACAGAGACACTAAAAATATAAATCCTTACATAATGTCGCCTGCAGGCAAAGTTAAATCAGGCACAAAGATGATATGCAAAAAACAAAAATCTATCTACAAACAGGCTTTGATTGATCGTTTCAAACTGTGTGGTTTCATCACCAGAGCATGCTAATATTGGTCTAGTTAGACACCTTTTTATGATTTGATCTATCACAATAGGTGATAAAGATAAAGATCATCATGACACACCCATCATTCAAAGACTATAATGAAGTAGTAGTCTATGAACTTAAAAATATTTTCAAAGTGTTTTTGAGTGGAGAGTGGTTAAAGGTTGTTGAGAATTCTTAAAATGTTGGCGACAATTACATTGACAACCCTGCAATGAGAATCTATTTTTGACGCAAAAGTTAAGAAAATCTCATGCACATTCAATCCTCGGATGACGAGTGTAGTTTTTGACTACAAAGATAACGAGATTCGTTTTAATACAGACTCTGGTCGTTTGTACCGACCTGTCATCCATATCAACGGTGATAATGAAATGACGTTGACGAAAGAAATGATTGATAAGATCAGTATTAAGGTAACTGACAAAGGAAAGATTAACGAGTAGGATGAATTTTATATAGAAGCTTGTTACCCAATTGAAGTCATGGATTCAGAAGAACAGCCTTGCATATTGATAACAAAGGATAGAAAAACGCTAAATTTTGAACGTAAAAAGATCATAGAGTGTGAATAACACGTTTTTAATGGCGAAGAATCAAATATTGTTAACAGATACGATTACAAATTCTTTCTCAGATTTAATGGCTTAGACATTCACTCTTCGATGCTACTTGGCGAGATTGCAACTAACATTCTTTTCTGTGAAAAGAACTATTCATAACGTAACATTTATCAGTATGCCCAAGGTCGTCAAGGTATAGGTATTTACTGTACTGTCTACAGATCGCGTACATATATCAGTTACATACTGTATCTTTCAGAAGTTTCTATTGTAAACACTAGAATATCAAAGTACACCTACACCGACATTCTACCACCAGAATCTATCGCTGTTGTTGCTATTACATGCTACTCTGGATATAATCAAGAGGATTCTATCGTGTTTAACATGACAGCGCTACAAAGAGGTTTGTTCAGATCTATAAGTTTATATAAATACATATCAAGTATCACAAAAAATCAAGAGACGCCGGGTAACGACAATTTTATGGAACCTCCTTTAGGTAAAATGATTGGTACCAAGAATGGTCAATACGAAAAACTTAACAAACAAGGTTACATCCCAGAAGAAATGCAAATTACAAAGAGTGATATAATCTTTGGTAAGGTTACACCTAATAATGACACAACTAACTCAGGAAGGATCTTTAAAAACTCATTTGAGCAGTACAAGTCATATGCCGACGGAGTTATTAACAGAGTATACACCGACATTCAGAACCAAGACGGTTATGAAACTCATAAGACTTTAATTAGATCAGAGCAATTCCCTCACATTAATGACAAGTTCTGTTTTCCTGATACTGCAGATGTTAATGCTCTTACGTCAAAATGGTGGAAAACCTTGAAGGATGTCACAAAGAAAGATTGAAAGGATGTCACAAAGAAAGATTGAAAAAAAGATGAATGGAGATATCCAACTAAGGTGTACAAGTTCGATTATAATGGTAAAGTGTATAAACTCAGATCACAGCAAGTCAACTTCGATGTCACAATCGACCACGACCTTTACGTCAAAAAAAATGATAGAACAGATTTTGAACTTGTGCCAGCCTTAGAGGTAATCGGTAAATGCTACAACTTAAAACAGAATTGCAGTAACACGTGTCCTGAAATCCAGAACATTAATATCGGTGACAGAATGGTCAATTACGACGCATATCTCAAATTCCTTGGTATATTCTTGAGTGATGGTTATTTGGAGCAAGGCGATGACGGTAAAATTTTGATTTTTGGAGAGAAAGGAAGAAAAATTGATCATCTGTACAAGGCCGTTGAAAAACTTGGTATTTATGTTATCAGTGATACAAGTTGTAGACATATAATTTAAAACAAGGATCTTTAGGCAAAACTCATTGAAGTAAAATCTGATGCTTTAAATAAATCTATCCCATCATATTTATGGAATCTTGGCAAGAGACTAGCAAGAATCCTCCCTAACAGCATGTTATTATGCGACAGATCAAAGAACAATTGAGAAGACGTATCTTCCGAATCTCTTGCAGATGACGTCATGAAACTAGCAACTCACTGTGGATAGACAGGTTCAATCAAAACTATTAGTGATTTCAATGAAATTACACCTATTGAATCACACACTAAAGACACGCCTAATGTCGATGCTTTATTAGTAAAAATTAACAAAACAAATTGCCAACCGCAAATAAATCACAGTTATTCTGAAAAACAGAATATACAAAGCGAAAACTTATGATTACGACAGTATCGTAAGATGTATTGAAGTTCCGCTTCACGTTTTCATGATCAAACAAAACAACAAAAATGTATGAATTATTAACTGCTCAAGGCATGGTCAAAAGGCACAATAGGTATTAGTATGAGAGGTATTGACATGCCTTTCACAAAATGGGGTATTCGTCTAGATATTATCAAGAATCCGAACGCTATTCCTTTGCGTATGTCTACAGCTCAGTTGTGCGAGTGTCTATTTGGCAAAATTGTTACCTTAAAGGACATGAAAATGAACGGTACGGCGTTTGAAGACTATGATATCGATGCAAGAAATATACGCTTGAAAGCCTTGGGTATCAGAGAGAGTGTGAAGAATACTTCAACAACGGTATGTTGGGTAAAATGATCAAAACTATGATTTTTATTGGACCAACATATTATCAACGTTTGAAGCACATGGTTCAGGATAAAATGTACGCTAGAAGTCGTGGTTGCGTTACTTTTTTAACTTGTCAAGCACCTGAAAGCAGAAGCAGAGAGGGTGGACTGCAATTGGGTGAGATGGAACGCGATGCAGTAATTGCTCACGGACTTGCCAAGTTCTTTAAAGAGCGTATGTTGGACTGTGCAGATGCATATTCAACTTACGTGTGTGGTATGTGTGGTATATTTGCCAGAGGAGTAGACTCTCGTTACAGCGAGCCTGTAACTGGCACAGACGATGTGTACTACTGTTCAAAGTGCAACAACTACACAGACATTCATCAAATCATGATTCCTTACGCATTTAAGCTAATGTTGCAAGAGTTAATGGCAATGAACATCGTTCTGTGTATTAAAGTGCAAAAACATCAAATTGTGTGAAACAATTAATTTGGGGTGGAAGATTAAGCCGATTTGTCATCGTATCTTTAGATAAATTTCTTATATCGGGAGTGGAAGATTAAGCTGCTTACCACTATATATCCTTTTTCTATCATTTTACTTAAATATTATGGTTTTTGCACCCATCTATACTTTTTTATCTAAATAAAAAAGAATAGATCTACCCCTATTTTATTGAGTTTTGTTACAACATTAATTAACCTTAATCAATGTTAAAAAACCGCACTACTAAAGATAATATCATGAGTAGCAATGTAGTTATATTTCATCTAAAAAGAAAAGTTTAGAATAATAAGAAAAAGAATGTACTGTAACAATTTGATCTAAAAAATATGATGTCCAATTTTATCCAAAAAAAAACAAGTTAAAAAAGTAAGAAAAAAAAGATATACGGTGACAAGTTTTGCTACATTTTCCACTCCCATTTCAATAAAAAAGTAAAAATGGATGTAAAAACCTTAATATTTCTAACAAATTTTAGAGAAAGATATATAAGAGCGACTTGCTTAATCTTCCACCCCCAAAAAAACTATTTAACATGTTTTTTTCGACAATCTTTTATCATGTATCTTTTTTTATTATTTTTTAAACATGTTTTTAGATAACCATTTATCGAGTATCATTTTTTATTATTTATTAAACTTATTTTTTTAGATGAAGTATATATTCGTGTAAAAAAGTATAGATATTTGCAAAAACTATAAAATTTCAAGAAAATATTTAAAAATGATATATTGCAACATCTGGCTTATTCGACCACCACATTTACTACTTCTACATTTTTTAAAATACAAAAGTATAAATAACGTCGATAGTAGGTCATACTAATATTTTGTAATTATAAACTATTTTATCAAAATCACGGTGATAAACATTCAGAGTACTTTTACTAAGTTTTTTTGACTTTTTTAATAAGAATTGGTTTTTTGGCAGTTAACTCAACAGTCTTAGGAAATCTAACTGATTTAGATTTAGACTTGAATTTATTATCAGACTTAGATTTAGACATAGATTTAGCCTTAGAGTTACACTTAAACTTGGATTTATTCTCAGACTTAGATTTATTATTGGTCTTAGATTTAAAATTAGATTTTTTCATTTGTTTAGCTGTATAAAGCCGAAGTATCCCCTTTTACGGTTTTGATTCTATTTGTCATATGTTGATATCCAATAATATTGCCACACTTTTGGAATTCAACTTTAATTTTTTTGACCACATCTTCGTCAACTTCACCTCCAGTAAAACCATAGACGATATATTTTTTCTTATGTCTGAGCTATCTAAGTGACCATTTTTTTTTCCATCTGAAAGAGGAAGGATAACCTTGAGAGACATCAATTTGCTCTCAAGTTCAAGTTATGCAATGATTCTCGGATCCATGTTGCCTACACCCTTAATCATAGGTTTAGTGCCCTGTGCCAACTGTGCGGTTCTATCACCTAATAGGTGCACACGTTCATATTGATTAAAATGTCAAACTAAACGGCAATCTTCGGGTTTAACATACAGATTTTAGTTGAGTTCGTTATCATCGGCATTGACAATTGCACAATCATCGTCATTGTCATCCTCTTTATTAATGACAGCAACGAGTTATTTTGTGTTTTTTGCTTTACGAGGAACGTTATACAAACATTAATCTCCATCACTCCCTCCTCCACTACCATCGCCACCCATGTCGATATTGTCATCACCGGCATTATCATTATTTCATAGTCATCATCACCTGCGGCATCTAGATCGTTATGATCTTCTTTTTTTGACTTTCTTGTTGTTGTCGTGCTGTGTTGCATCATATCTATCTATTTTACTATCACTTTTATTGACAGTTGATCCGACCTCAGAGTCAAAGTCATATATATTTTGCAATTTTGCTTTAGCACTACCTATACGTTGTACAGTGTTAGAACTACTTTTACGCGACATGTTGAAGATTAGAATTGTATATTATATAATTCTTTATATGGTTACATATGTTTTAATAAGTTGATTATACATAGAATTTTAAAAGAATGTTTATCACCTCATCACCTTTTTCTGTCATTTACTTTTTCATGAATGTATGATACTCTCGATATTAGAACTTCAGACATTATAGATAACCTCATAAGTATAATTACTGAAACCTACATTTACTGATTTTCTTTAGAAGCGTAATCAAATGGAAAAAATAACCTAAAACATTTTTTTCTTACATGATATGTTAGAGTAAGAAAGATCTGTATTACCAATGAATGATTCGTTTTTTAATAAATGTAAAAATCCAAGCCAAACATACTTAACTTCTGAGCAACGTCATGATAACAGTGTTGTCTTCTTATGACTCATATAGCACTGACGGAAAGGTTAATTAATAAAAAAAAGATGTTTAGTTTAATTGATCTTTACTAATAACCATTTTGTACACACATAGATAGTAGCGTAGGTATCTGCACTCTTTCTAAAAAAGATTGCCTCGCGTGGAAGATTTTTAGTATAAACTTCACACTTTTTGTTTGGATATTGATAGTTTCTTGTACGCATCATTGTTCCAATGTGAACTCTGTTCCTATAATTAGCTTCATTGATAAAGTCGTGAGTATTAGTGACACCTTCAAGATTTTTTGTCAGAATTCGAAAGCGAGATTTAATGGGTTTTGTGAACAGACAGTTTTTACAAATCATTAACATTTGTACATTCTCATCAGAATTTTCCATGTCTTCGATCATGTTTTGGATCAGCTTCTTAATTTTACCTTTTTTTTTGCCATTTTCTTGTAGTATTCATTTTTGATCATCTCTTTAATATCGATAGTTTTAAGTTCATTATTTGTCAGTTTCTTATTGTTTTCGACTTTTTTCAAACTACTTTCTAAATCAGGTCCTACTTCAGATTCTTCATCCGAGTCTGACGTATCTCTCGGTGTATAAACATTGTCATCATTTTCTGCAAGCAGTGCGGGTAAAATTTCAAGAATATATTTTCACATTTTTCACAAAATATATCATATGCATCAGGAGTCTGTAATCTTTTATCTGTTTTTGTTACTTCAGCGTTGATAATGTTTGTTTTATCAACGTTTTCTTTGATAACTTCTTTTGACTTCCCTTTAGTTTTATCAGACATTCGTTGAAATGATTGATGATGTATTTTTACTATTTATATTATTTTGTGAAAACGCATTATCATTAATTTTTAAATTTTACATCGAAATCTACAGTTATTTGAAAAGCTCTGTGTCTCGACTAACTATTTTTTTACACAGTGTGACGTTTTATTTTAACTATCAACTAATCTATTTACTCACCAACACTGGACGGATTCAGTCATATCTTACATGATTTTTCCATGTTAAATTCTTATTTAGATAAAGATCACAGATATATCTACCTGTTTATTGACGCAATGTTACTTAATGTTTTAAAAAAGTTTTTAAATTCTCAAAAATTAGTTGTTCTAAAATAACAGGGTTTCAGGAATCAGGAATTTCACGTTATTAGATGATCTTAAGTAGTAGATGTTCAAGTATTGGATTCAACTCAAAATATAATTGTAAAGGAATAAGAATGTTCATCAAATAGATTGCTCGTGTATTAGATGTCTCAAGAATGACAATGTTTAATTAATAGATGACTCAAGTAATAGTTGTTCAGGAATAAGAATGTTTGTGTAATAGATGTCTCAAGTATTAGACGTCTCGAGTAATCGATGACTCAAGTATTAGATATCTCAAGTATTAAATGTCTCAAGTAATAGTTATTCAGGAGCTATATGTGTTAAGTATTGGATGTTCTCAAGCAACAGTTGTTCGTGTATTAGAATTTTCACATATTGAATGTTCTCAAGTGCATGATGCTCAGGTATTAGATGCTACTCAAGTCATAGTTGTTCAGGAATAAGAATGTTTATGTAATAGACTGATCATGTATTAGATGTCTAGAGTATTAGTTGTTCTTAAGTATTAGATGTCTCAAGTATTGTTTGTCTCAAGTATTAGTTGTCTCAAGTATTAGTTGTTCTCAAGTATTAGTTGTTCTCAAGTAATAGACGTTTTCATGTATTAGTTGTCATCAGGTATTAGATAATCTCAAATAATAGTTGTCTCAAGTATTAGATGTCTAAAGTAATAGTTATCATAGGTATTAAAACTTTCATGTATTAGTTGTTATCAGGTATTAGATGTTCTTAGGTATTAAATATGTCAAGTATTAGTTATTCAGGAAATAGAATGTCAATATAATAGATGTCTCAAGTAATAATTGTTCATGAATAAGATGTCAAAAGTAATAAATATCTCAAGCAATAGATGTTTCAAGTAATAAAAACTAATAATTTAGATGTCTCAAGTGATAGATGTTTCAAGTAATAGTTGTTCATGAACTAGATGTATCAAGTAACAAATGTTTAAGTAATTGCTATTCATAAAATAGATTCCTCAAGTATATGCTGTTCATAAACTGAATGTCTCAAGTATTAGACGTCTTAAGTAATAGTTGTTCAGAAATTAGAATGTTCATGTAATAAATGCTTCAAGTAATAGTTGTCTCAAGTAATAGACGTTTTTGAGTTAGAATTTTCATGAAATAGACAGCTCAGGTATGGTTGTTTAGAAATTAAATGTCCCAAGTAATAGTTGTCTCAAGTATTAATTGTCTCAAGTATATGTTGTTCTCAAGTGTTAGATGTCTCAAGTATTAGTCATTCTCAAGAAATAGTTGTTTTCAAGTATTAGATGTTCTCATGTATTTTTTGTTATCAGGTATTAGATGTTCTTAAGTATCAGATGTCTCAAGTATTTGTTATTCAGGAATCATGATGTTTATGTAATATACATCTCAAGTAATAGATGTTCTCAAATTATAGACGTTTTCATGTATTAGTTGTCATCAGGTATTAGTATTCTCATGTAATAGTTGTCTCAAGTATTAGATGTCTAAAGTAATAGTAATCTTAAGTATTAAATGTTTTCATGTATTAGTTGTTATCAGGTATAAGATG